TAGAAAAGAGAAAGAGATGCAACTTTACGACGATGGGAATGAGGTTCAAGCTTAGCAGATAGTCCAGGTCTAACAACATTTACAATGCGTTTTTGGACCATGTCAAGAAGAGAAAGTGAATCGTTAGAAGAACCAGCCCAAATATGATAACAGTATTTCATACAGGGACGAATAAGAGATTTGTAGAGGTAGAGAATGGAATCAGAAGTAAGGAAATGGCGAACACGATAAAGAGAAGCAACCTTAGCAGAAGCTAATTTAGCAATCGATTGTATATATTGTTTCCATGAAAGGTCAGTAGTAAGCGATAATCCAAGAAGACGTAAAGAGGAGGACTCAGTAAGAGGATTGCCATTCATTAATATAGGAATGTTGACCATATTACGGTAGTTGTTTGCAGTAAGCAATTGGGTTTTTTTAGAGTTGAAATTCACAAGCCACTGTGAACCCCAATCTATTACTGAAGTGAGATCAGATTCAAGATCAGCTGCTTGTTCTAGGCGATCGAAAAGAGAAGACTTTTTGTCAAGACAGGAGTATAAAGTTGAGTCATCAGCAAAAAGAGCTACTTTAGATGAAAGGTTGTCAGGAAGATCGTTTATGTAGATAAGAAACAAAACAGGGCCCAGGATAGAACCTTGGGGAACCCCAGAACTTACTGGAAATAAAGAAGAGTATTGACCTTCAAGGATGACTTTAATAAACCGGTTAGAAAGAAATGGTTTGATAATCTCAAAAACTTTCCCAGAAACACCATATGAAGCAAGCTTATGGAGAAGACCAGCATGCCAAACTTTGTCGAAAGCTTTAGATATGTCGAGAGCTATAGCTCTAGCCTCACCGCCTCCATCTAATGCACGATAAAATCTTTCAGTTACAGCAGTTAGCAAGTTGGCCGTAGAGCGAGAGGATCGAAAACCGTATTGATTGTCTGACAGCAGTTTATTTGACTCAAGATGAGATATGAGGAATTTGTTGATCAAAGACTCAAAGACCTTGCTAATAACAAAAAGAAGAAGACTGATCGGACGATAATTGGAGGGGTCAGAATTTTCTCCAGAGTTTTTGAATATTGGAACCACAGATGCCATTTTCCAACAAGCAGGAAAACAAGACTCAGTCAAACACTTGTTAAATAGTTTAGAGAGAATTGAAGAAAGTTCTGGAGAACAATTCTGCAAGACTGTGACAGGAATGTTGTCTGGACCACAAGCTGTAGACGAGTTTAATTGAGATATGACTTTAGCAATAGAAGCCGGAGTGATTTGAATGTCTAACAATGGGTCAACCTGTTTGACTGGAATGGAAGGAAGAGAATGTCCATAAGATTCAAGAGTGGAATTAGAAGAAAAGTTCTTTGCAAATAGTTCTGCCTTATCCTTGGGAGAGGTAATAAGATCAGTCCCATGAATGAGAGATGGAATGTTAGATCTACCCTTGTTAACAATGCTGTTGAAGATTTTCCAAAAGTCTTTAGAGCCTAACTTCTGCGATAAGATGCGAGATTTAGTGAACTGAGAATAATGAAGTTTAGCATCAGAAAGCACCTTTTTACATCGATTTCTTGCAATAATAAATAGCTGTTTGTTCTCAAGAGAGTTGTTCTTTTGAAAAAGATGAAAAAAATGATTACGATTGGATATAGCAGCCGCACAAGAAGGAGAAAACCATTGAGTAGAATGAGGCTTGACTTGAAACTGACGAGAAGGAATAAAAGCTTCCATTCCAGCCTGAATCCAGGAAGTTATGTAGGAGGCGCATTTGTCAGCTGAGAGAGAAAAAACATCAGCCCAAGGACCATCACGAAGAAAATCACGAAAGGAATCCCAGTCAGCTTTAGGGTAGTAGTAGGTGGTGCGATGATAAGGTGAGCCCAAAAAAGAAGTACGAGAAGAAAGATTTATAGAGATCATTGCATGGTCAGAACCACCTAAGGGAGAAAAGGGAGAAACTGAACATAAGCTAGGGTCAGAGACAAGACATAAGTCAAGGAGTGAAGGTAAATGATTAGGGTTGTCAGGAAAACGAGTCACAAAGTTAACTATCTGAGTAAGTGATTGAGAAACGCAGAAGTTAAAGGCTTTAGTGCCAGCAGGATCAGTGGTGTTAGAGCCAAGCCATTCAGTGTGATGGGCATTAAAATCACCAACAACAACAATATTGGCAGAGGGGTAAAGAGAGAGGGCATGGTCAATTTGATCAGAGATAACATCTAAGAGAGTGCAATCATGGGAAGAAGGATAAAGAACAAAGAGAAAGGTGATAGAGTGAAGAGGTGCTAGGCGAAAGCACATAAAAGAATGGTCAAAGGATTCGAACCTGATTTCACGACAAATAGGGGAATTAATGCGTATGTATACCCCTAAACCTAGCATGTGACTATTGGAGTCTTTACGAATCAAAGGATAGTACCCATCAACACATCTGAAGAAGGAATTGCAGAACTTAAATTTGTTTTGCTGAGTGCAAGCAAGTCTGGTGAATTTTGCAGGAGGTAAGACTCAACTGATGGAAAGTTGCTTCGTAGACCGCGAATATTTGTAAAAGATATATTAAAATATTTAGGTGGTGGGGATGGTTTTTTAGGTTTTAAATTTTTGGTTACTTTGGTCATGATTTGGGTTTAATAAGAACTTGACTCATTCATAGATAGAGCACAGCCTCCTAATCAATGAGCTATGCAGTTGTCTCAGTCCTGTTAATTAACCCTAAGCCGTGACATAGGGCTCCTTATGTGGCCTTGACAATGCACACCAAAAGCATTAACAGGGACACCATCCATGCGCAACATGGCACTGTTAATACTCTGATATTTTGCAGTTGTTGATGGAATTAGCCTCTCTGAGAGCTACCACAGAGTTCAGGAAACCTTACTACCAGCTGGCCTCAAGACCATTAAACTGAGTTTTAGAGCTGTACCTTCATATGGAGATAACAGGAAGAGTTGCATAGCTATTATCAAGGAGGCATAAGCAAAATTCTATGAGTAGAGTCAAGGAGATCCAGCATTCATTATCCTAGGCAGGAAACAATGTAACACAGGTTACATCTACGCCAGCCTAATAGATGAAGAAGGGGTTTGAGGCTGGTTAACAGAATTTTTCTGCTTACCCCTAAAGTCTTTGCCTAGGAGGCCTTCTACAAGACAGTAGCAGGATGCAGTTAACATCTGCCCAAGATGAGTATTTTTATCGAGACACCATCTCTAGCCTTTACTCAACCAAGAGCCCCAAGGCAGGGGATGTTTAGCTGGATGCAGTTAACATCTGCCCAAGATGAGTGTTTTTATCGAGACACCATCTCTAGCCTTTACTCAACCAAGAGCCCCAAGGCAGGGGAATTTTTAGTCGGAGTTTATTTCTCCTAGCCTTTGCATAAGAAGAGCACACTCTGCAAGGCAGCAGTGCTTGTGGCAGGTGGTACTGGGTTACGTGATACCAGTAGCAAAATTGATCTCGATTATCCTGACCTGACCTGGAAAATACACTGCAAATACACTGCAAAAACTGATTTGGTAAAGAGATCTCTTTTTAATAACCAAAGATCAATTCGACAATAACTAAAAGACAAAACCATTAGTTTCCTACCAGTCACTTCATAAAAATTCATAAAAGAAAAGAGTTTTATTTGATGATGTTTGTATTAATGTGGATGTGTTAATTAATGTGGATTTTATAATAAAATTCAAACTATTTAGCCTGCATTTATGATCTAAGTGATGAAAAAAATAGTTTTATTATTACTATGATTTATAAATTTTATGTTTTTTTTTTCCATATTTCTAGAGTTATAATGATGGGTCATAAGTTTTTATGGATAAAATATTAAATACTAATATATATATATATATATATATATATATATATATATATATATATATATATATATATATATATATATATATATATATATATATATATATATATATATATATATATAATAAATAAATTACACTTATTGTATTTAATTCAATACAGTTGTTTGCTTTGTTATAATATTTTAAGTTTTTTAATATTTTAAAGATTAACAAAAAAGTTTTTATTGATAATTTACATGAATGTTTTAGGTTATCTAGGATTATTATTAGATATCAGATATTTTTTTGGTCTTATTAGTAAACACTCTTCGATTTATGTGCATAAAAATTTTTAAAATGAAAAAAAAAAAGAATTCCATCTTTAGTAACAGTTTCTTTTGTTAAAAAATATCACCTGTTATTTTGGAAAATAAAAATCTAATGTTAGATTAACATAAAAAAATCTAAATGTTAATTTTACAGTTTTATAAAAACCAATTTTTAAAAATTGCAGTTTTTAATTTGTTTTTAACAGTCTATATCTTGAGACAACCAACTGAAAAAAGTTTTTGAAGTAAAAATAATTGAAACTAAAAAAATTACTTAAATAAATTAGTGAAAGAAGAAACACCAACTCATTAGTTTAAAAATATTTTTTTCTTCAAAAGAAATAAACAATCCAGCAGTTACCATGGTAGGGGAAAATTTTATGAAAGTTCTTTTGTAAAAGTCAGTGTGTCAGTGTCTAGATAAATATTTATTTTAAATTCAATTACTTTAGTTATCTAAAATATTTTTTTATCAAATATTAACAACTAAACCGCAACATAATGCTTTCGCACAACAAAATATTTAGTTTAGTAATTAGACTAAATATTTTGTGATTTTTAGGGAAATTTTAAGTGAACTAATTAGTTAATATCTTGTTAATCAATAAAAATGGGATAAAATTGACTCAAGATGAGTCAATATCCCATGAAAGATCAATGTTATCCTTCATTGTATTGATCTTGTTAATTTTTTATTTTACTTATTACGTTAAATGAGTCATATAACAACAACTGATATCCACTATTAAAATAATATTAACAAATTAAATACTACACATTTTTAACTAAAAATGTGTTGTAGATAGATTTATATAGTATAGTACTTGGTGTTTAAAATTTTTTTATATGTAAACTGTTTTATAATTTTATTACAGAAAAAACATGATGAAGCTGCTGAAATAATCGATACCATAAAGTAAGTTAAAAAGATTTTATTTATTAAAATACATGTTTCATATATACCTGTATATATGTTTTTTTATATCTCTATATATAAAGCCTTCAGAATTCGAGACAGCACGATGACTTAAGTTCTGACCAAACTGCTAAATTAAAATTCCAGCCAAACTACTAACTTGAAAGTGTCTGAGGTTACTGATTTTTTGTTGGTCTCAAACACTTTTTAGTTAGCATTATATATATATATATATATATATATATATATATATATATATATATATATATATATATATATATATATATATATATATATATATATATATATATATATATATATATATATATCTACTATAGCATATTTATATGCGCAATTGCTCACTTGCTAGCCTAATTGCTCATTTGCTAGCCTAAATTAATTGAGCTTTTTAGAAAACGATGAGGGAAAACAAAGAATAATGAATGAAAAGGTTGCTGACCCATACCAAACCCTCAGTTGATGTAGCAGCACTCCACTGCGAGTCAGGCTATTTGTCAGTCGATGTATGTACTGAAGCCCCCGGCAACAGGCTATTTGACGTTAGATGAGTATGACATCATCATGCTCACCTAACTCAGCAGTATAAGATATATATATATATATAAATTATCTTAGTGTATTCTACAAATAGAGTGCTCAATGTTCTTAAAAAACAGAGCAATAATAAATTGGTAATATATATATATATATATATATATATATATATATATATATATATATATATATATATATATATATATATATATATATATATATTTATTAATTTTTTTATTAATTTACACAAGCGTTTATGTAAACAATTACTATAATTAATTTTATGGTTTTATTTAAAGCCTTAGCGTAAAATAAAAAACTTTAGAAAAGATCAACGATTAAAAGATATTTATAACGTAACACTTTTTTTATTGCATTCAAATTGTTAAAACATCAAAATAGCTGTGGTCAAGTTGTAAAGAAATAAAAATATTAGCGTGGTCAATTACAGAGTGTCATCGCACGCCATTCCTGTCCAAGCCTGATATATATATATATATATATATATATATATATATATATATATATATATATATATATATATAAGCCTGGTATATATATATATATATATATATATATATATATATATATATATATATATATATATATGTATATATATATATATATATATATATATATATATATATATATATATATATATACATTCTAGCACATATAGATATACATTTACCTACTTTTTTTGCCATCCTAAATCTACATGGTTTTTTTTTGGCTAAAAGAAGAAAAAATTAGAATAATGAAAAACCTTATTGCTGCCCCTTTCTAAACCCTCAGTTGGTATAGTAGCAACTCCCTTGCATGTTCTCCCTATGTAAGGTAATGTGTGTACTGAAGACCTCACAACTCCTTAACTTACAACGTTAACTTTTTTAAACCATAATAAAATAAATTACAGCAAAACAAGTTTACTAATTAAGAAAAACAAATCTAGAAGTGTTATTTTAAGAAAGACAAATCTAGAAGTGTTATTTTAAGAAAAACAAATCTAGAAGTGTTATTTTGTAAAGGTACATATTGTTGGATTTCTACTTTGTTTCAATTTTTATTTAGATTTTTAATAATTAAAGTTTTCTATCTTTTCGACTAGGTGTAACTTATAACTAGTTTTCTCTGGTACAGGAATATTTTTCAACGAGTAGTTAAAATTTATTTTTTCCATTGTGTGAGATCGATGCAAAAAAGTGCTCAACCAATTTTTTGTCCGGAGCGTTTTATTATACATAGCAAAGAGCCTTTTATTAACATAGCAAAGATTTTAGCTTCAAATACAACCCTAAAATTGATACCAAAGTAACCCCCAATCGTAAAAGAAAATAAAATATAATCTGGTTTAACCCACCATACAATAAAAACGTTCTCACAAATATAGGCAAAACCTTCTTACAATTAATCGACAAACACTTTCCAAAACCAAATCCGCTTCATAAACTATTTAACCGTAACACAACAAAAGTCAGCTACAGCTGTACAAGCAACATAGCAAAATTTATAAAGAACCACGACAATAAAATTATTTCGATGAACCCAATGGCCACTTTAGCTTGCAATTGTAAACTAAGCAAAATCTGCCCTATGAATGCAAATTGCAGAAAAACTAATGTAATTTTTAAGTGCATTGCATCATTTCCAAACACACCCGACAAAACATACATTGGTTTAACAGAGAGCATGTGGAAAACTAAATAGGCGAATCACAAGCAATTCTTCAAAAATAAAAAACTCACAAATGCAACCACGCTTTCTAAATATATATGGGATACACAAAATAAAACAAAAACAACACCCAATTTAAAATGGTTCATCATAAAATATGCCCCCGATTACAACAACATAACCAAAAAATGCTTGTTATGCTTATACGAAAAACTAATTATTTTATTGTATAAAAATCCTCAAGAATTATTGAACAAAAAAAAAACGAACTAATATCTAAATGTCGCCATGAGAACAAGTTTTTGCTGGACAACCACAAACCAAAAGATTAGATTTTTTAACTCATTTTCTTTTGTACAGATTTATTATTTTTACGAGAAAAAAAACATATTTACACCTGATGATTGCATTTAGCATGAAACTAATACAGGGTGGCCCATAAGTCACTTTACATTTTAAAAATTAAATAATTTTTTCTTAAACAACTGTATTTAATTAATTCTTTTTTTAATACAAAGTTTAGAGTCTGTAAGTTAGTTCTGACTTACGAAAGATAATGTTTCTTTTGAGATCTTTTTCAAACTCAGATGCCCCTTGCAAACAATCAGAGGGAGTTGGCTTCTTACCGTGACAAGAATAAATGGTAGTATCATCAGCAACAATGCCACCTTAGATGTGAGAATATCTGGAAGATCATTAATGTAAATTAAAAAGAGTATAGGGCCAAGGATTGAACCTTGAGGAACCCCTGAGGTTACAGAATAAGAAGAAGAGTGCTGTCCATCAAGGACAACTTTTATACTACGATTGGAAAGGAAGGATTCAATAATCTTAAAGATGTTTCCAGATACACCGTAAGAAAAAAGCTTATGGGGAAGACCAGCATGCCAAACTTTATCAAACACTTTAGAAATGTCAAGAGCGATGGCCTTAACCTCTCCATCTTTATCTAATGGCCGATGAAACCTATTGGTTATTACTGTTAGCAAATCAGCCATAGAACGAGAAGATCGAAGTCCATATTGATGATCAGAAAGTAGGTTATGAGATTCGAGATTAAGTGTTTGTTAATTAAAGATTCTAAAACCTTGCTTATGATAGGAAGAAGACTAATGGGACGGTAGTTAGATGAATCAGATCACTCTCCAGAATTTTTAAAAATAGGGATAACAGATGCTGCTTTCCAGCAGGCTGGAAAACAAGACTCTGATAAGCACTTGTTAAATAGATTTGAAAGGATAGACGACAGCTCCGGAGAACACTTCTGCAATACTATAACAGGTATGTTGTCCGGGCCGCAAGCTGGAGAAGAGTCTAAGCAGGAAATCACTTAAGATACAGAAGCTGGAGTGATATGGATGTCGAGCAATGGATCAACCTGTTTGACGGCTATATCAGGTAGAACGCAACTAGTGGAATCAAGAGATAATATTGATGAAAAGCTCTCGGCAAACAATTCAGCTTTATCTTTAGGTGAGGTGACAAAGTCTGAACCGTACAAAAGAGGTGGAATTACAGACTTGCCTTTATTATTGATACTGTTAAAGATTCTCCAGAAGTCACGAGAGCCTAATTTTTGTGATGAAATACAAGATTTCATGATCTGAGAATAGCGGGCATTGGCGTTTGACAAAATCTTTTTACATTGGTTCCTAGCAGTAATAAACAGACGTCTGTTTTCTGGAGAATTGTTTTGCTGATAGATGGAAGTAACGGTTTCGATTTGCAATTGCAGCAGCACAATGTGAGGAAAACCATGGAGAAGAGTGAGGCTTGAGCTGGAATCGTCGAGAGGGAATAAAGGATTCCATGCCAGCCTGAATCCACGAAGTTGTGTAAGAAGCATATTTGTCAACAGGAAGACGAAAGATTTCTACCCAGGGGTAATCACGAAGAAAATCACGGAAAGAGTCCCAGTCAGCTTTAAGGTAGTAGATGTACAATGATAGGGGGATTCTGATGGTAAAGAAGAATGAAATTAGTTTTAGAGAGACCAAACCATGATCAGAAGCACCTAAGAGTGAGTGTGGAGAAACTGAGCACTGACTAGGATTAGAAAGTCGAGTAGAGAAAGTAAATGATTCGGGTTGTCTGGAAAGCGAGTTGGAAAGTTGACTATTTGAGTTAGGGATTGAGAAAGGCTATATATATATATATATATATATATATATATATATATATATATATATATATATATATATATATATATACAGCGTGTAAAATAAGAAATCGAAGGTGAGCGGTCAATTTGACCAGCTAACCCTTGGAATTGACGGTCAACTGTTTTTTTTGGACGGTCTACATTTTTATTATTTTCTTTGTTTTCATCTTTGTAATAGTTCTTCATGACTGAACTTTATAAATACAAAAATACCTTAATATTTGATAATTAATAAATTAGTATTCCTTTTTTAAACTTGAAAATAACTAACATTAAAATTACATGCCAATGTTAATAGTTTAAAATTAAGCGCACAGATTTTCATTTTATTTCTTAAAGAAAGTTTGATAAATTGATAAATTTTTTTAAAGGAAGTTTGATAAATTGGATACGTCGTCACTTACCAACGCCACTGTTAAACTAATTATGTTCGTCACTAATTAACAGATTAAATTATATATATATATATATATATATATATATATATATATATATATATATATATATATATATATATATATATATATATATATATATAAATTATATTATAATTAACAGATTAAATTATA